CGCAGTACTCGGCATTAGATGCACATTTTGGATTGTTAATTTTTGCGAGCGACCGCCACTACTGCTCGAGTCTCAATCCATCGAGGGTTTAAACCGGATCAGAATGTAAGAATCAACCAATTACAGTCGAGCATTCTCGTTCGACTATACAAGGAAATATTCGACTGTAGTTGATTGGTTCTTACATTCTGATCCGGATTAAACTCTCGGTGGAAACTAGGCCTGTGTCTCTCTTATTGGAAAGCTCCCCCCCCCATTATCCCTTCCACCATGGCTCACTGTCACTGAGCACGTGTAAACTGTAGTCGCAAGTTGCATGTGGTTGCATGACGATCACGGTCGTGTCGAGGTCGAGGTGACCACGTTCGCTCAAGACGCTCAAATGAACAAAAATGATTCGTTGAGCAGATATGGGCCTCTTGTCGGTGCGATCGACGAGGGAACGAGTAGTGCAAGATTTTTGGTTTGAACAATTTTTTGTTTCTCATTATGTCAATGATCATTTCGTGAGGTGATGCATTGTCGCGAGATTGCGGTTACTATAGTCGGGAAATCTTGAAAATGCAGCATACTTATATGTATACGACGCTGTGATTAAATCAGTTCTCTTCAGCCGGTTCTACATTAGTTGCAAGCCGATCGCAAGCGTTACTTCATATTGACAGTCGCAACAAACTTGCGATCGGTTTGCAACTAATTTAGAACCGGCTTTGTAGATGTTACAATAAATTGTCGCAGTTTGACTTAAAAGACATGTCAAAAGCAGTATGTAATTTATTTGTGACAATTTGTAATGATGATATTTATGAAGAGATTGTAACAAGGTTATGTCTCTTACCATTCGTTTCTTATATTCGTTAATAATCATTAATGATTGTTGTTAGAGTTATTAATTATATAACATGACATTTTAAAATACTGTATACAAGATGTAATTAAACAATACGTCTGAATTTTGAAATCACATTCCTTATACTTATGAAAACATACAATTATGGGTCCAGAAACGCTTCATTTCCTTACTCTTTCTAATCTGTTTACATTGTATAAATGCACAAAGTTAGTTATTTTTCTTTGGAATGTTTGGAAAATACAGCCTTAATGAGTTAGTTTTTCTGTTGTTTAATAAAAAGTATATTGGCATAATTTGACAATGTTTCTGAAATAATACAAAAAGTGTTTCTAGATTTATATTCATATTTTTTTTTCTAGATAAAAAAACTTTAGATTTTTCTCAAAAGTTTGATTGTATCTTTTAATTATATTCTGTATAAGTTTCTTTTTTATCACAATAATTTTCTATTACAATAATATAGGTTTTTGCAGCTAATACAGCAGAAGTGTTAACATATCATCAAGTATCGATATCACAGACATGCCCAAAAGAGGGATGGGTTGAACAAGATGCTTTAGAGATATTAGAAGCAGTTAGAGAATGCCTGAAGCAAACTGTATTTAACTTAAGGCAGTTGACAATAGATCCAGCTGATATAGTTGCAATTGGTATAACAAATCAAAGGGAAACTACAGTTGTATGGGATTCTGTAACAGGAGAACCACTTTACAATGCTATAGGTAAAATTATTATTATAAATGTTATATTTTTCATAAATTGTAATAATTGACACGATTTATCAATTTTGATAATGTATTGCAGTATGGATGGATATGAGAACAACATCAATTGTAGATGATATATTAAACGGTCTACGCAATAAAAATAAGAATTACTTGAAGCCGCTTTGCGGATTACCAATTAGTCCATATTTTAGTGCATTGAAATTAAAATGGTTGTTAGAGAATGTACCTCGAGTTCAAGAAGCCTTAGCTGCCAGACGTCTCATGTTTGGTACCATCGATTCCTGGCTAATTTGGGTTTGTTCACACAGAGCAAGCATAATATAGATAAATTTTTGTACTGATTCAGATTAATATGCCTTTTATAATTTTATAATTAGAATCTGACAGGTGGTGCCAATGGTGGTGTTCATGGTACAGATGTAACAAATGCTTCGAGAACAATGTTAATGAATATTGTGACATTGAAGTGGGATCCTACTCTATTATCATTTTTTAAAATACCTCCTGAAATTTTACCTGAAATACGGAGCTCTTCTGAGATTTATGGTTATATACAAGACGAGTTGCTGCAGGGTGTTCCTATATCAGGAGTATGCAATTCATACTATTTTATTAAATATAACAGAGTATCGAGATATATAATATTATAAATATATCAAAATAAAAAAAAATTTATATAACTTCATACTGAGATATTAATTGTGTTAAGATAAATTTGACTCAAATACATAAAAATTATTCGTTGCAGTGCTTAGGTGATCAACAATCAGCTTTAGTAGGTCAGATGTGTCTACAGCAAGGACAGGCAAAAAGTACTTATGGCACTGGTTGCTTTCTTCTTTATAACACTGGCACAGCTGTAAGAGAAATTTTATTGTATTGTCACAACATGTTATATAGTTCAGATAAGATATAAATTCAAACAAATACAATTTTGTAGATTGTGGATTCGTCCCATGGTTTGTTGACGACAGTCGCTTATCAATTAGGAGCGCACGCTTCTCCGGTATATGCTCTTGAAGGTTCTGTAGCTATCGCAGGTGCCGTTATACAATGGTTGAAAGATAATCTTGGAATATTAACTAATATAAAAGACTGTGAAACTATTGTCGAACAAATGCCCATAGGGTCCAATCAGATTGTTTTCGTGCCAGCATTTTCTGGATTATATGCTCCATACTGGAGGAAAGATGCACGAAGGTAGTTAGTTTGATCAATGTAATAGAAACTGAATTACTTTGCAATAAATATCTAAGTATAACAAAAAGAGTTAAGAATAAAAACTGCCATGATGTTGTAAAATAGTTATCAAATGTCATGTACATATAGTATGTTAATAAGAACTAGCATATCCTTTTTTTTTACTTTGTAAGTATCAATATGAATTGTTTTCAGTGTCATATGTGGTATTAGCGAAGATACAACCAGTGCACATATTGTAAAGGCAGCTCTGCAAGCGGTATGCTTTCAGACGAGAGATATTTTGGAAGCTATGAAGAAGGATACTGGTTTGGTATTGACAAAATTGTTAGTTGACGGTGCAATGACGAATAACAATTTGTTAATGCAAATGCAAGCTGATATTTGTGGAATTCCAGTGGGTAGGAGAGAAGAACATTTCTTTAAATACATACATACTATTAAATTAAAAGTCAATGGATTATATAAATGAATACAATGTTTTTTATACGAAAGTTAGGCCATTAATGTGTGAAACTACTGCCCTTGGAGTCGCAATTGCTGCGGGTAGCGCAGAAGGTATACGAAAATGGGATGTGAAGATTGATGCTGCTATTCCCAGTGACATCTTCTTACCATTAATAACTGAGAATGGTGATCATCTCGCAATAATCATCCTTTATTACAAATATAAAAATTTTTGACATTATACGAAGAGA